ATAAATCTTTGTCTTGTAATCCTCTAAGAATTATACCATGTCTAACTTGGAAAAATTGTCATTGAAAATTGCCATATATTTAGAGTAACCTGATAAACAACTCTGTTATATGTCATGTTTCCCCATGTCTAATGATATTTCTTCTACTGCAAATTCCCCATAGTATTATTGCAGGCATAACCTTCATAATTTGTTGAAGCTTATGACCTATCAGTGTTGTCCACCATGTTACTAGCACTTGATTCAGGTTCTGTCTTTTTAAGCTTAAACCTGCAAATTGGCCAACATAGACCCATGATTTCCTTACTTTTTATGATTGTTGTAGGCCTGTAGCATTAGTTAAAAGGAAAAAAATCTGAAAGATATTTTTGAAGACTGTTCTGCCTTGATTTCTTATATAAAAAAAAATCAGTAGGGATTTTTTTTGGAAAAGATATTGAACATTGTTGATAGATGTTGCATCAACATTGAACATTGTTTCCCACACCAACAATTTTTTAAATCTAATTTATTTTTATTTCTATTAGAATATTGATACAAACATTTTCTAAAGACATTTCTCATCTCTTCAACAAGCAGAAGACCATACACTGCCACCATCTTCTCTTGGACCTAAGTTTCAACAAAGAGAACACAATTTCAGGGCAAGCTTGTGGAGTTTTGCAGGGATTTGAATCTTATGGTAAGTTCTTCTTGTCTGTAATTTTAGGGCAAACTTAAACCATTTTTTTTCTTCAATCGTAAACCTATTTCTCCCTAGAAATTGTTGTGAAATCGAAGGAAATTGAGGGCTGAAGGTTTGATTGTGAAATCTAAGAAATCTTGATGTTTTTTTGTTCAACAGCTGAAGGTTCTGTTCTGACATCTTTGAGGTTATAACTGAAGAAACTTCAAGTTTGAGCTGTTGAGGTTTTCTTCTTGAATCTCTTCTTTTTCCTTTAATCGTTGAGGTGTAGTTAGTTTATTTGATGTATTTTTTTTTTTATTGTGGGTCTTTCCCATTAAGTTTTAGCTATTGTGGGTTCAAAGTTTTGTTGGTAGTTATGGTGAAATTGATTAACTCTAGACAATATTTCTCTTGATATTGATGTTGGATTTGTTGTTCCATGAGTTATTCAATCGGGTTTGATTACCCTTTCATTGATGATGTCTTCCTTGATTTCACCTCTCGCTTGAGTAGCTAGGATGTAAGAAACTTCACTTTCATTATTATTGAAGAGTTACATTAGAGCAACAGGAAACAAGAGATACAATAGCATGAAAATGAAAAAAACTAAAATTCACTGCTGGTTGGTATTAGACTTTTTGACATGAAAATCTGACACTTCGTAAAATTCTAGATCAATATTATTTGCCTTAAAAAATCTATTTTATCACTTTTAAAGACCGTTTTGCCTTGATTTCCTACAAAAAGAAAATCAGTAGGGATACTTTTTTGAAAAGAATTGAATCCTCAAGGCGATTTATTGGTGTGTTAGAATGTCCATAAGTCTTTAATAACATAAATTTGAAAGCATGATAAGCTTGTTAAAGATATTTCTTGACAGGTCATATTGATCAGTGTTTTGTATATATTTCCAATGATAAAGGAAACTTTGATAGTTGTTTCATATATTAAGAAAAACTATGAAATGATTGTTGTAAAATTGAATTGTGATTGCTATGAGTTTTAAACTGCATATTCTCCATGTACATTTTGAGATATGTTTGTTCATGGGTAAAACATTGTTGTCTTTTTATTTCATAGTTTATCATAAATTTGATTCTTTTTATCTTTTTGTGTCGCATAGATATCAATGGATAATTTAGATAGAAGTTGGATGAGTCTCAGACAATGTAGTGATAAATATACTAGTGGAGTGAATGATTTTCTTGATAAGGCATTTCAACGAGCTTCTAAAGGAAATGAAATATTATGCCCTTGCAAAAAATGCATCAATCGTTATTGGCATTATAGAAATGCGGTGGAGGATCACTTGATTGTACATGGATTTGTGGATGGATACAACAAATGGATTTTTCACAGGGAGAGACTTTCCTCACAAAATACACCACTTTCACGCAACCATGATGATATTGATGGACTACTTCATGATACATTTTGAAATATCGAGGGTGAAATAGGGCATGGAGAAGGAGAGAGAGAAGGGTTATTTGAAGATGCAAAGAGATTTTTTAAATTAGTGGATGAGGAAAAAAGAGCTATATCCAGGGTGTGAGAACTTCAGTAAGCTGAGTTTCATCATTCAGTTATACTTGCTTAAATCTCTACATGGGTTGAGTGATGTGGGTTGAACTGATCTTTTAGACTTGTTAAAAGAAGCATTTCCCTTTGCTCAACTGCTTGAGTCTTTCAATAAAGCTAAAAAATGGTAAAAGATTTGGGTCTCGGCTATGACAAAATACATGCATGCCCTAACGATTGCATGTTATTTTGGAATGAAAATGCGGAGAAAGATAATTGCTCTGTGTGTGGGTCTTCTAGATGGTCAAATGAGGGTGATGGCACGACTAATGCAAGCTCTAAAATACCAGTAAAGATTTTAAGGTACTTTCCTTTAAAGCCTAGGCTTCAGAGAATGTTTATGTATCCTGAAACAGCTATTGCAATGAGATGGCATGATTATGAACGACCTAATGATGGGAATATAAGGCATCCTGTTGATGGAGAAGCTTGGAAGGATTTTGATTCTATGCATCCAAACTTCTCAAAAGATCCTCGTAATGTTCGATTGGCCCTTTCAAGTGATGGTTTCAATCCATTTCAAACCATGAGCATTTCCCATAGTACCTGGCCTGTTATGTTGATGAACTATAATTTATCACCATGGATTTGCATGAAGCCAGAGTATATGATATTGTCGATGATCTTTCCAAGGCCATCATCTCCTGGACAGGATATAGATGTGTACCTACAACCATTAATTGCTGAATTGAAGGAACTATGGGAATTTGGGATAGAAACATATGATGCTTATACAAATCAAACATTTCAAATGCGTGCAGCTTTAATGTGGACAATTAGTGATTTTCCAATGCTAGAAATGCTTTCTAGATGGAGTACTAAGGGAAAATTAGAATACCCCACATGTAACTACGACACGTGCTCTCAATATCTCAAACATAGTCGTAAAATGTGTTACTTAGGTCATCGGGCATTTTTGCCTCCTGATCATCCATTTAGAAGAGACAAAAAATCTTTTAATGGAGAGGAGGATCATAGACCTGCACCTACATCCTTGTCGGGCATAGAAGTGTTTGAAAAGTTACATGATTTCAATAATATTTTTGGTAAGGGCAACAAGAAAAGACGTCGAAATAATGAGGGTCCATGGAAGAAAAGATCCATCTTTTTGAATTACCATATTGGAAACATAATAAGTTGAGGCACAATCTTGATGTGATGCATATTGAGAAAAATATATGTGATAGTTTGCTTGGGACTTTATTAGATATCCGAGGAAAGTCAAAAGATCACGTTAATTCTCGCTATGACTTGCAAGAAATGGGGATACGAAAGGAGCTTCATCCAAGGAAAGATAATACAAATGGAAAAACTCATTTAGCTAAATCTTGTTTTACCATGAAACCCGAAGAAAAACGATTATTTTGCACTGTTTTAAAAAATGCAAAATTCCCAAAAGGATTTGCCTCAAACATATCAGATCGTGTGGATGTGGATGAGATGAAAATATCAGGGTACAAAAGCCATGATTCTCATTTTATAATGCATTACTTGCTCCAAATTGCTGTTCGAAAAGGATTGCCGAAGAATGTTTCATTAACCTTGATTAGGTTGGGGAACTTCTTTATAGCTATATGCAATAGGGTTATAAGGCGAGCAGATCTTGAGCCAATGCAGATTGAAATCAAAGAAATTGTAATGTGAGCTTGAAAAGATTTTTCCTCCATCTTTTTTGATATAATGGAACATTTGCCTATCCATTTGGTTGATGAAATTAGATTGGGTGGTCCAAATCATCTTCGATGGATGTATTCCACTGAGAGAAAAATGTGTAAGTTCAAGGGTCTTGTTTGTAATCGACGTTATCCAGAAGGTTGTATAGCAGAGGGATTTGATGTTGAAGAGTTCTTGATCTTTGGTTCGAAATACCTACATTATGGAGTGAAGACACCATTCAGTAGGTACCGAACTGAGGATGATGAGGATGTTGAAAAAAGAGGGAGATGATTTGTCCCTTTTGTTTCCTAAGCTTGGGCATCCAGTTGGAAATGGGAATAAGAAAAAAGGAAAGATTTTTACCATGGATCTGGAGTTATCTAGTGAAGTACATCGATATGTTCTCTTCAATACTGGTGATGAACAAGTGGAAGATTTTATCAAGTAAGATAAAAACATAGTAATTATATATAATTTAAACTTCATCTGTTCAATTATTATAAAGCACTTAAAACTTCAATTATAAATGCCTAATAATCAAACTTGAATTATTCATACTTGCAGGGAGCATAAGATGTTAATTGATAGTAATATTAGATCAAATGCATGGACAAGAGCAAAGAGTCATAGTCAGGAATTTGGCAACTGGTTCAAAGAGAAAGTTAAAAATGTTGAAGTGCCTAATCAGTTAAGATGGCTAGCTAAAGGGCCTAATAGGGTGGCAACCAAAAGATATAATGCATATTTCATTAATGGATACCGATTTCATGCATTAAAACGTGATTACTCACGCAAGTCTCAAAATAGTGGAGTGACTTTATCAGCGACAACTGATAGTTTTGCTAGTGCTCGAGATCAAAATCCCATTGATGGAGAGGTTATATATTATGGGGCTATTCAAGATATCATTGAGGTTGATTATTACAATTGTTTTAGTGTTGTACTATTTAGATGTGATTGGTTTCATAGTGAAATAGATGAATATGGGTTAACTCGTGTGTACTTCAACAAATCACGAAGTACGGATGACCCTTTTGTGTTGGCGTCTCAAGTGCATCAAGTATTTTATGTGGCAGATCCAATCGAGAAGGATGTTTATTATGCAAGGAATAAAGTGCTTGTTGATTTGTATGACTTGGAGGAAGAAAATTGTCCTAATATTGGAGATACATTTTGGAGAGAGCTATGTGAAGACATTGGTCCCTCAGATAGATTATCCGATGTTGACATGAGATGGTCAAGAGAAGATATTCCTGTTGATGTTGTTGATATGCCATCTGATGCTCAATTTTCAGAGGATACAACTATGGGAACGTCGGAAGAGGAGGATGATTTTGACGATACTGATTGGGATTAGATGGATGCGGATGATTAATAAATAATTTCTGAATGTCTTGTAAATATATATTTATCATCGTTTTATTTTATTTTGAGTGAGTAATAAATGTCCTTTCCTTAGAAATACATGATTCTTTTATTCTTTTTTCTTGAAATTATATTCTGATTTGTTTCTTAGAAATACATGTACCTTATATTGTGCTTAAAAAGATCTGATTCTTATTCATATATATCGTTTTGACAGATTCGATAGTCATGAGGAAAGAGGAGACTTCAAAACAAAACATGAAAGGAAAAGGAAAACAATATGTGCAGGCTGGAACACTTACATCTATGGCTTACAAAAGGGTTTCTTCACTGAGATCAAAATAGAATGTTCAATCTATTCTGCCTCGAAATTCCTCTACTCTTGTGGCATAAACTGTACAAAAAGAATTGCGACAAGTGCCTCAGAATTCTTGTACTTTGAAAGCACAGTCTAAAAAGGATCAAATGCCTCAGAGTTGTTCCACTCTAAAAGCAAGATCTATGCAGAAATCACAGCAACATGTGCCTCCGAGTTTTTCCACTTTAAAAGCACAAGTTGTGCAGGAACAAGTGCAACCAACACCTATGAATTCTTCCACTGTAGTAGCACAAGTTTCAGAGAACTAGTTGCAACATGTGCCAAGAGAATCTCCTACTGTAGAGGCACACGATATACAGTACCAAGTGCAACAAGAGACACAGAATTCGAAAGAAAATGACCTATCAGGAGAACTAGGTAAAAACATATAAATTCACTTCTAAATATTTTAATGTATTGGAATTGTAAAATCAGTTAACATTGTTGATACGTTGTTTAACTTTGCTTCGTATTATTGTAGGGCCTGTGACTCAAAAAAAGAAAAGAGGTAGTACAGTAATGCAAAGTGTACATGGGCGACAAGAGCGTAAGTTGGTCGTGTTGAACAGGTACAATCAACCCATTGGTCCTACTAATGCCATTGTAACAGAGTTGGGGAGTTTTCTTGGAACCTTGGCAAGGAATGCGATGTTTTGTCCTCTTAATATTCATAATTGGAAGAATATGGACACAAAAAAAGATTTGTGGGATTATACCCAGGTTTGAGTTCCTGCATTTCTAATTTCAGTTATAAACTTTTCATACTTTTTACTAATATAAAGAACAAATTGTAGGAGAAATATGATATTCCTGATAGTGCAAAAAAATGGGCTTTGGAGGGAATTAGAAATGCTCGGAGAAAGTATTAGAATGACTTGTATGAGAATCATTATAAAGCATATGATAATGATGATCTTCGAATGGCAAATAAGCCCAAAGATGTTTCAGAATTTGATTTTAAGGACCTTCTCAAATATTGGGACTCTGAAAAATTCAAGGTTAGATTTATATTTTATGTTCTGATTGATTCATTTTTCTGTTATTGATTCATTTTTTTAATTTACGTAGAATTTAGTAACTCGTTTATTTACAGGAAATGAGTGAAAGAAATACCAAAAATCGAAAAAAATGGATGAATCCACATACTGCTGGTAAAACAAGTTTTGTTGTGATACGCAATAATTTGGTATGTTCTCCTATTAATCATTAAATATAAAATTGTTGCCATAAAAGAACTTTAATACCAACTTTATGTAATTAGGAAAAAGAGAAGGAAAGCCCCGATGAGCTGTCAACTAAAGAACTCTTTGTGGCTACAAGATCAAGAAAACCTGGCCGAGTATACAAGGACTCCAACGAAGATACAATTAGTAAAATTGTATGACTTTTATTTGGTTATAATGTTGTTAAGATCCTTTATTTGTTCTTAAATACTTGATTTTATTTATTTGAATTTGATTTGTAGGCTGAAATGGAGAAAATGCAAAGTCAACAGAATGAAGATGACAATCAATCATTTGATGCTTTTACAACAGTCATGGGACATGAACACCCAGGGTGCCTGAGATTGTATGGAAGAGGAGTTACCAAAAGTACTTTGAAAAGAAAAGTGCTTTCTGAACCTTATTTAAGTGCTAATGATGAGAGGATGGAAAAATAATGGAGGAATTGGAAGAAAGGATGCATCAAAGGATGGCGGAAAAATTAGAACAACAAAAAGTAACCATACAACAAGAATTTACAAATGATATTCTTGGACGACTTAATCGTATGTACCCTGGGCTTCAATTGAATGCTGCCATGTTGGCATCAGTGGGTGCTCAGTCACCACAAGAAGCTATGCAACCATTGAATCGTCCATCTTCTAGCAAAAACCATCAAGGTATGTCGTTATTATTCACTTAATTCTTTCATCCATCTTTAATTATAGTTGTTCCAGTTGAATGTTGAGTTTTCTACTCACTTTTTGTGTATAGATTTTATCTCGATCAGGACCCTGTTTTGAGTATCAGAACCTTGGACTGTTCTTTTCCTTTTCCAAATGTTTTGGTTGTGAGAACGTTAGTCTTTGAATCATTGTTCTCTCATTAGTGTGTCATCTTAAATTGTGAAATTATTGTGGCTCTTATTTGTTAGTGAAGTTGTTGGACGGTTGGAAATGATAAATATTTAGCACAAAAGGGCTGGCCTATTGCTGACACAGATGAAGCGTTGTTGTAAGTACTAGTTTGTAGACAATTTGTGTGAGTATCTACACTGCTGTTGACCCTTATGCGAATATTAGTAACTTGTTGTTAGTTTAAATTAAGGATCATCCTCGCTTGACTTGGCAGATCTGAAAAACCATGTTGGCTAAATAATTTGCAAGCATATTTCCTTCTCTGTAAGTGTGTTTAATTTGAATCCGACACAATTGAGATGTATCCATTATGTCTCCAATAATTATGTATTTGAGTTTTCACCATTCTGCGACTTTAACTTGGCCAAATAGATTGCCTTTTCGTATATGTAGTGGAGTCTGGATGAAGTTTTGGATACTTATAACTTGTGTGCTTGGTGTGTGCGTGTGATTTATAACTTCCATGGCTTGAATTTGACTAGTTATGGTGAATTGGAAGGGTTTGAATAAAGTCTGAAGGTTCTGTCCCTTCCTGTTTTATTGTTAAAATTCCTTCCCTTGAAAATTGTTTTTTCTGAGTTATTGTGGTATACTTTGGTACACTGCTAATGTTGCTATATTTGAGTGTCATGTTTATTTTATTATATATTCCCCTTGAATGTGTTTTGTTAATGTGTCTCTCTTTCAATACAAAGCTATATTACCAATTTTTGAGCCATTTGTATCGCCCAACCAGCCCTTCACCCACTAAAAGAAAAACAATTCCAATCTGAGCCATTTCAGGTTGCTGGATACAACTTGCATTTTACAGCAGGCAAAAAATAGTAAAAAGTTTATGTCAAAGACAAATAGGCTGGCTGGTTAAATAGTTTGACTAACTAAAGGTTACTTAATGGTAATTGGCCAAACTGTAGGTTATATCGATTATTTTCTGCTACTATATAATGCACCAACCTTTGTTAACATACTCAAAGAATGTGTCGTGATATAAGGAAAAAGTACAGATTGCAAGAAATGCACTTTTGGCACATTACATATGCTCGATAAGTCAGAAGTGATTCTTTATATAAATGGATTGTTATAAGTATTGTTTTTCTGTGTAATGGTGACTAAGTGGGAATCAAGACATGTAAAGATTCTGTCTTTCGCATTTTCTGTTTGGTTTCATCACTATCTCTTGTTATTTGCTCTGTCACTAAACTGTTTTTTCGAATGTGTTTTTGAAATGACTTGTTCATTTGGTGAAGTTGAGTCACAAGACAGGAATGTGTTTTACATATTCTCTTCCTTTGTTTCCCTCATATCCTCCTTCATTTGGTGAAAGTTCTATTTTTCACAAGGAACCAAACTCATCTTCTTCATCCCCATCTGGAAACAAGATCAGTCCAGTTGTTCTTTTCATTATAGTTATATTAGTTGTCCTGTTTTCATATCTGGTCTGCTCCATTTGCTAGTTAGGTTTCTTATCAAACACCCTTCTTCTTCAGCGTCATCTCAATCTAATGGATACCCTGAAATTTCTAGTTCAGATTCTTTGCAAAGACAGTTACAATAGTTATTCCATTTACATGATTCTGGTTTGGATCAAGCATTTATTGATGCATTACTTGTCTTTTTGTACAAAGAGGTTGTTGGTCCTAAAGAGCCCTTTGATTGTGCTGTTTGTTTATGTGAATTCTCTGATAAGGATAAATTGAGATTGCTCCACACTTGCAGCCATGCTTTCCATAGCAACTGCATTGATACTTGGCTAAGTTTACCTTCCATTTCCTTTGGTTTTACCTTTTTTCTTTATGCACAGTTGATTGAGACAAATGTAAATGTTTGAATTATTTTAAACTTTTATTTTTCTGGTCTTTTATAGGTGGAGAAGATAACAAAGGGGATGATGAAAGCAGTGATGAAGACCTTATTACTTGATCTAATTGATTGAAAGATGTAGAAACCTTTTGCTTTAGGTCGACTCTTTTGCTTCTTGACATTTTGAAACTTTTGTTAAGCTACAATATTTGTTTTAATTTCTATTAGTATGGAACTTGTGCAAACTATTGAAAACATGTGTTTTGGTATATATATTTTACCTTTATGGATATTTTGATGACTAGGATATTTCGAATTAGATATGTGAATTGGCTATATATAATTACTCGTTTTCTTACGTAATTTGATTTAGAGAATTTTTTATAAATTGTTGTTGGTTTATATATATATATATATATATATATATATAATGCTCAGGAAACCTAAACTATTGCAACATGTTAGGAAAAACTGTAGATTCATATAGATTGGTTGCAATAGAAAATAAAAATGTTGCAATATCAATTAAAATAGTTGCCAAAATATTTAAAAAAGTGTTGCCATAAGAACAATCTATTGCAACATACTCTATTGCAATGGTTCCTAACAGTTACCATATACCCTAATGCAACAGTTGTAAACTGTTACAACAGTTGTAATATTATAGTGCCTATAGATGGACAGAAAACCGTTGCAATAGAGGTTCCTATAGCATACAACCCCTAATGCAACAGTTGTAAGCCGTTACAACTGCTGTAGTATTATAGTGCCTATAGATGGACAGAAAACCGTTGCAATAGAGGTTCCTATAGCAACACTTTCAAGAACCGTGACATTAACTGTTACAATAGATCTATAGTAACGCGAGTAGATGAGACGGTTGAAAACCGTTGCTGTAGCGCTCTGGCAACGGTTTTTGGTCCTATTGCAACGCATATGAAACTGTTGTTGTAGATCAAAATTCTAGTAGTGAGACATACAAACTCAAGCAATCACATGGCTTTTTCAATCAGTTCCATCACATTAGTGCAAATATTTTCATCTAGACTAAACAAGCTAACTCATGTGGATCAAAACATGACATAGATTGACCAGTAGACACCACAACATACACTTTTCACAATCACCAAGGTACCAACTCTCCAAAAATGTTACTAGTGCCCTCACATCAAAAGAAATCCCTTTTTCGCACAATAGATATGAATTTTGAGTTTAAGGATTCATTCAACACCCACGCTCAGAAGTGACTTCAAGTACAGCTAGTGATCAATACCATAGGCTTGTCATTATTTTCACTGCATAGACTCTCCAAACCAGTCACTAGGATAACTATAAGACTTTCTTAGCATGTAACGTAGGCTCAGGGTCAGGTATGGTACATTTGGGTACTTTTTAGTGACTTTCTTCCCTCCTTGACATTACATTGGCTTTTTACCTCTTTTCTCAACCTATTCTTGACATCTTTTCATTTTCTTTTCTTTCATTTGACTCTCTTCAACACAGATGTGACTTTTGACTTTATAGCTCTTATTTGTCACTTTTCATCTTTTTATTTTTCTTCATTTTTCTTTGTTTCTTTCAGCACTCTTGTTATTCATCGTTTTGCTTCTTTTGAATAAAGTCACATCTTTTTCTATCTTTTCTTTTCTTTTTTCTCTCTTCAACACAGAACTCTTTTCATACCCTTCTTCTTTCGGTTTCCTTTTTCATAGGCTCCATGTGTTGAGGTGCACAGTATCCGATGGCGGACCGAGGCCAAGATCAAGGTAACTTTTTGAATTAGCCACCCTCAACTTAGGCTTTTAGCCTAACTCAAGGTGCACATGTCCAAGGAGGGACCAGGGCCAAAACAATTATTTTACGGAAGGTGAGTTAGGTGTATTGAAAGAAGTGGTCTATATTAGGCTCAAACATTTGGATCAAAGGGAACTTTTATTTCATTTGGTTGGATCATTTTAGGCTTGAGTGGACTTATTTGAACAAGGGCCTATGATCGTTTCCCAACTTCTAGCCTAGATTATCTTAGCAGGACCAACGAGGCAAGTTCTAGATTGGCACAAACTGTATGAACATTCAAACTTTTCTCACATGCACTTGGCACATTGTTTCATTATCAGATTATTAGATTACCAAGTTAAAGTTTTAGCTTAAGTAATGAGGTAAAATCGGTTCCTTATCTTGTCATATTGAGATCTAGCACATTCAACTCGCCAAGCCTAAAGCTCAAGCACATTTCAAACTTTTTGGATGGGTATCAATTTCATGCTTTTTTATGCCATAATGCTTTCATTTTTATACCTACTTCTACACATACAATCCTAAACATTCCGGTTCAACTGAAAGTAAAACAGTCCTTTGGGGGAAAAGAACTAAGGAAAGAACACCCCAAAGGAGGATTATTAGTGGGGTTACGGAGACTTCACCCTGTCACTCACACTCCATTTAACCCACCCCAAAAAAATAAGGTGCAATTTCCTTCAATGCACAAAATAAAGTAAAACATAGGGTGAAACAAACTTGTGGCACATATGCGCCGATGACCTCTGAAGAAGCGAGTGGATCCGGTTTCCCAGAGCCAGCTGGATCAACAGTAGGAACGCTATCATTAGCGCCCTCACCAACCCTGGGAGCACCATCATTTGTGCTCGGAGTGCCAGATGGGCCAACATCCACCTCACGGGCCAGCTGTTGTCTCCTCTCCTCAACAAGTATCAACTTTCTCGTGGCGTCCTCCAACTGCT